ATTTATATGGTAGCAAATTTGCACCTATATCATTAACCTTTTATTTTTACATTTAGCAATTTTATAGTCTTTTGTTTATGTCATGCCACTTTTGGGTCTTTTCTAGTATGAAATGATCTGTTACATATGAAAACTCTTTATCTTGATATAGTGCCTTCTTCTGTTATGGATTTAGTTCTATTTATTAATCTCAAACTAACATGTCATTTATAAAACTTTTCCATTAAACTATAAAACTGACTGATTTCCTTGATGCTTCTGACAGAAGAGAAAATTGAGTTTTAACATGAATTTGAAAGTTGACTTTATAACTCTGCTGTGGTGTCTCATCACTCAGACAGCTTCTGATATATATTTTGAAGTATAATAGGACCTGAGAATTTGGAGGAGGGGTTTAATTTACAGGGCAAGCTGATGAATCCTTCTCTCAAAAACATTTGTTGATTTCTGTGTTGATGAGGAATATCTTGGTGATTTCCCTCTGCAGATCCTATGCAGCATTGCCTTTTATTTAGCTACTCCTTTGCCTTAAACTTCTTGTAAAGCATGTATGTTTTACATAACACCCCTCTAGGTGAAGCTGCTCAGAATTCAAAAAAGATCAATTCACCTGAAGATTTTGCTGCTCTTAATAAAAAAGGGCTTGAGCATGGAAGTGAGAGTTCACCCTGATTGACTTTATTGAAGCCCCATCTTGCAGCTTAGTGCCTTCTCCTTGAGCTCTGCAGGAAGTGGGAAATGGGAAATGTTTGGAAACAAAGAGGTAAAAACCCAAGACTTCATTAAGAGAAGTGTTACAGTCCCACTAGAGCATTTTACTGCTAGTCCTGGTCTCCCGAGTCCTGCACTTTGCATTACAAGATTGTCAGTGGTGATGATGGCTAAATAACACAGCGCTCCCTTGCCAGCAGTAACAAGAAATATCATGCATCCTTTTCCACATATTGTTATGATAAGAGAATGTTATTTCCCATCAATTCTGATAGGTCTTTATAAGTTCTCATGATAATATTTCACTCAATTGGACATAGCTTTCATTATAAACATACATCTAATATCAAAGTTGCTGAAACAAATTCTCCTCTTTTATTTGCAAGAAATGTTTGGGGTTTCATTCCACTTCTATGTTACTCATTTAAAAAAATATCAAACACCAATTTATTATGGACAATCCCAAAATTTGTTGTTTTAGTTGACACAAGCAGTGAAGGTGCTGCCTCTCCCAACTTAGTAGGGAACTGATATGACAGTAAAGCCCAGAGGACCTCAATGTATGCTCACATTGAGCATACCCAGCTGCAGCCTTGAGCTCCTCTGCCCTACTAAATTGATTGTCTGTCTTCTAACAACGCAAGTTGAGCCAGCTAATTTTGGGAACCTATCCCTTCCCTTTAGGTTTCAGTTTTTTAGACTGTTTTCAGAAGAATCTGAAAATGGTGGAGAAATTATAAATTAATGTGGGAAAAATTCTTGTTGAGAAAAACAGCCTCCTTACGATCAAAATATTTCTGGTGTAACATTCTGAAGTATTCACATGCACCTAACTCCAAGTGAAACCATCTTTCACAGAATCTAGGCTAGTTTGGTAGCCAATGATTGACACTGAGATTTTGGATTTGGGCGAACATCAACAGTATGGGCTCTTCATATCTGTGCAAGACCAGCCTGTAAATGTTCTCAGGTGCCTGTTTCTTCCCCTTTATTGTGATGATTTCTGTAAAATCAATTACCTGAATACAGCCTGTATTAGGGATTATTTTTTCATTTGCACAGAGCTAAAATCTTTGTGGCCTTTGTGGCTTCTTGGGGGCTCTGCTAGACATGAGAACAGCAGCACTCAGATGTCTCCTCTATTCAGTCCAGAATGCTCATATGGTATAAAGAAAACAGATCTTAATATATTTCCTCTGCCATGATAACGAGTTATTAGCTTTTTAACTTCTGCCTGTGTTGCCTGCAAGGTGTTATAATTTAGAAGAGAGTAGCAATTTGAGGAGGAAAGACATGCCTGCTACCTCTTTCTTTTCTTTAGATTCTCCTTGGCGCCCACACCACCTCTGCTAATGTATTCTGTGGGCTTTGGGGATGAGACAAATTGCTGGTGTTGGTGACAAGAGCAGGATAAATGAGACTTAGCTGTGCAGGAAGAACTCTCTGCATAGCCTGATGGTGAAAGCACTTCTTAGTGGGGAAGGAATGGTACTGTATGTTGGCAGCCTGCTTCCAGGCCTCCTTCAGTGGTTTCATGCTGTCACTGTATATAAAATAAAGAGTGAGCCCTGCAGGCAAGAAACATGAGCAACTCTCCCAGTTTTGTACAAGTGCCATAGGCAATAGACTGTACCCTCATGCTTCTGCTTGTGCTCTCTTTTTGGCTTGTGAAATACAAATTTTTTATTTTTTGCCTGTGACATAGTTTCAAAGAGAAGCTCTTTCCCTTGGTATCCTAATGGATAGGAAGTGGGAGGAGAGGAATGAATAACTCAGTAGGCAGAAGGAGAGGAAATTGAACTTTATTTCTCTGTGTTTGTAGTGGGTGCCTTAACCACAGTAATCCATGGAAAGGCTAATAATCTGGGTTTTTTTTAATGCGTAACTCATTATATACATGTGCACCCTTATCTTTGGGAATATATTGTGGCCATTGAAGTATTTTGTGGGATCCCAGACCTCCTTGATGGATGTATTCAGAAGCTGCTTGGCAGATATCAGGGAGATGCATGTGAAGGAAAACTTTTTATCTGATCCAATTTCGGCATGAGCTGAACATCAAGCCTTTTAGCATGAGTCTGGTGGCAAAGCACAGTGGTCATGTTCCTTTATGTTCCAGTACTACATTTTTCAGGCATTTAAGGTGATGATCTCAAAATTTATCCCAAGGATCAGTTTAAGAATGGACAGATACCAAACACCTTCATTCATATCTGTGCTGCAGGCTTTTGTCTTTCAGATAGCTCTGAGTGTTTCAAAGCTACATAAAATCCATAATGTCATCCATGACCCACCAGTGTGAATTTCCTCAATACCCACTCTGGGCAAGCTCTCTGCTCCTGACACCAGCACGTTCTCATGCCTGGGGAGGTAGCCAGGCAATGACATTGTGGATGTTAGTGAGCCATTAAAGTTTTCTGTCACATTAACCAGGGTTATTGTGACCAGTGGCCTTCCCGAAGAGAGAGAAACCCATGTCCAAGGGTTGTTCTGAGTAGGTAAGGGTATAGTTTGCACACAGCTGCCCTATTTCAGAGCCAAGGACACTTTAATGGAGGCCATGCTAAGCCAGCTGCCTTCAGTGCTGGGAGTGTGATAGGACACATTCAATTTATTGGTGCGGGTGAAGACCAAAGATGCAGGAGGGTTTTAGTGAATGTCAGGGCAGAGGTGACTCTAAGCAAATCCTTGTCTGATTTGACATCTCCATCTTCTTCTTGCTTACTAATGTCAAGGCTTCAGGAAGAAGACACATTGTCTTTGAAAACTGGTGGTCTCTGAATTTTTTTAGTTGTTTTGCTGACCCAGAAGATTTCTACTTGTAATGGGAATGAAAAAGTCTCTGGCTGTGGTCATGGATTTCATAAATGTTTTCCTTTGTGATACAGGACCGCCAGCATGTTGTTGCCAGGCCATAAAGTGTAAGTTCTGACTGTGCCAAAGAGCTCTCAAAACTCTTTATTTACCATTCTGCACATGGTATTTGGGGCACCCTTGTATTGTACTGTGTGATTTTTCATTTATCTATGCTGGGTCAGATGTTCAGCTGATAAAAGTCAGTTATACAAAACTTCACTGATTGCAAAGGAGCTGCACCAAGCTGATGATTCAACTTTTATTAATTTCATTGTTTAGGTTTATCATATTTATTAAGCTCAGCATAGAGAATATAGTTTTCATGTCTGCTGTAATGGAGGCTTTTTGTACAGAAAAAATGGATTCTGCTCTCAGTGACACCTAGCCTCATCTTGCAGGTGAAGATTGAATCTGGCCATAATGTGTAAAATGAAATGGTTTATGTGAAATACCCACATATGATAATACTTTGGTTGGTATTCATAGAGCCATGCTTGCTCCATCTGTCTCAGTTATAAATATTGTAAGTGCATATTTCAGAAAATTTTAGGGTTTGTATCAATGTAGTAAAATCAAGTAGATGTTAATAAATTCTAGCAAGCATAGAAATTCAGTTGTTTCTCAGTAGGTTTCTATTTAGCTGCTCAATATTATCTTGCTACAGCTGCAAAAAATATTGAACTGAGTTTAAACTCCAACAAAAATGCTGCTAAGAAAGTTGATTTTCTATGTTTAGAACAGTGGATTGGATTGTCAAAAATGAGTAGCAAATGTGTTTGCAGAAGAATTTTATATCTGCCTTTTTTGTTTATCTTTTTTGTCTAATGTTCAGAAATGCAAAATTCCCTAAGAACCACATGCTGATCCAAAGATAAAGGCTGATGCTTCTTAGTTTCATCCTTTTCCACATCCAACTTAATCCAGACCCAAAATGCCATGAGGACAGTGGGAGGAGAGCTATTGGGATGCCACCATTCCCTTCTGATTTGTAGTTGCCCAAAAGTAAAGTAGCAGCTTTTGAAGAGCACAGATGGCTCATTTGGCTGCTGGTTTTGAAGCAGTTTGCTCTGAGGTCTTCCAACATTTTCTACTGCCTCTCACCCCCTGAGCCTACGTCTCAGGAGCTTCCAGTCTCCCTTAATTCCTGCATTAGGGAACCCCTGGGATCACAGTGGCCATGTCTGGGCCTGCTCTGCCCCTTTGGGCTTTCAGGAACAGATTGAGGAACTTGCAGTCGAGTCTCGTTGAGAGTAAATGTAAGAAAACAAAGACTGGGGAAGGGAGGGAGTGTGATGTTGTTTCAGAAGCAATAGCAAGGTTTGCATGGCTTTGCTCTCTGCACTGGTGAAGCCTGGTGCAAACAAGAAAATATCAAGTGTTCTGTCCAACGCATAATTAAAAAGTGGATGTTCTGTTTATGTGTTTTCTTACAGCTGGCAGCATTAGAGAGACAAATCTTTGATTTCCTGGGTTTCCAGTGGGCTCCTATCCTTGGCAATTTCCTACAAATAATAGTTGTCATTTTGGGTTTGTTTGGAACCATCCAGTTTAGGCCTCGATATATAGTCGTGGTAAGTCTCATTTATTATATTTCTTTTTGTTTTTTGCCATAAAACCTGTCATATTACAAAGCAGAATTTTCTTGGTTTCAAAACACCAGATGGTATTTCTGTAGAAACTGTACAGGTCTCCATGTCTTTTTGCAAGTTTGGGACTACTAAGTGAATTTTTTTGAGAATTTGGACATTATCAAAAACAGGTAACATGGAGAAAGTGCTGCCAAAAACATGACTATGGTACAAGTCAATTAGACTATGTAAATAAATAAATAAAGTAAAAACTGTTCTTCTTTCTGTAACAGAATTCATGGTGATTATAAAAAAAAAATGCAATGGCTAATTATATTTGACTGCATCTTTCTCTTAAGCAGAGAGGAGCAGTGATTGTAGAAATTTCTTTGGTCCTGTGATCCATGGGTTCCGAAGTCTCCTTCTCACTTCCATGTAATTTTGCCAAGACCTGTATTTATGGCTTTGACCCTAAATTATTGTATATTCTCTCTGATGCTTGTAACTTGAAGCTTCTCAGTTGTTTTTTTCCCATGTTCTCAAAATATCCAGGAATAAAAAGAAATTTCAAAGCTGTGAAGTAAACTGCCAACAAAAAAAAAAAATCTCTGTTCCTCCCCCATGTTCGTTTTTAAATGTAAGAATATTATGTCTTCACCTGGTAATGGCTGTATTTGGAACATTTTTGTTGTGTTGTCAGTAATGGATTTTAAGAGGCTGAAGTTATCTTTTTCCTCACAAAGGAATGAAATAAATGTCTGCTGGGGAGAACTTGTTAAACAAATGCTTTAAAAGCTTCATTTTTCTAGTCCAGCCTGGAATCCTGTAATTCTTTGTCATGTCTTAAAAGAAAAAGTGAACAAAAGTACATCCAAGATTACACTCATGTTAGCTAAGCTTACAAGCAGACTATAATGAATTGAAAATGGATTGATATAAAAACCAGCACTTTTATCTATTATCTGTGGTTGAAGAACTGGGCATCCATGAATCGATGATTCACCTTTCTGCTTCATGCTCTCCATTTTATGCATAAGAAACAAGTGTAAGCATCTGTAAAATTATGTGGGAAATTCACGTCTGAAGTGCAACACTACAAAATTTCTTGCCCCTCAGGTTCATCACTGCTGTTCAAGGATGCAAGCTCTGTTTAAATTTTGAAATGAACTGCAACAGATGTTGACTGTTTCTATATCTTTTCCAATGTAATTGAACATTTTAGGCTGTGCAAAAGTTGTTTTAAAGTAGAGGTAGAAAACTCATAATTAAAGAAAGAAACACCTCCCCCACAAGGTACTTTATGCTGCTTTAAATGAACTCCTATTCTGATTGATCTTTACTCATATATTTAGGAGCTCTAGCTACTGCAGGTGCCAATACTCATTACTGGGGAAGATCAAGGCTTTAGAGCCCAGCTGGTCAGAATACAGTGCTAATAATGCCATAAGTCACAGGTTTGACTTATGTGTCCGCCATTCTATTAAGAGCTGGACTTGATGATTCCTGTTGGTCCCTTCCAGCTCAGAATCTTCTGTGATTACCCACTTCTTCATCCCATCACCACCTCTCTGAGTGATCTGTGATTATATCCTTACTAATGTAGAGTTTACAGGGAAGTGAGAGTAGTTTGAGCCAAATCCTGAAGTCTGAAGGGAATCTGTAACATGAGGTGTCTGTAGCTGACCTCACACTCAAAGCCACCAGAATAGGGTGGCTGTCATGTCTTCCTGTTCCCACCATTCCCTGACTGAACACTTCTCCAGGTCCTCTCCCCCACTTCTGGCAGGAGTTAACTGGATCTGTCAGTAAGTCAGTTCCATTTCTAAGCTGCCAGAAAACCAACCTAGCAAAAAGTGGAGATTTTTTTGCTAAACTGATGACCTGAACCCTGTTTGTGAGGTTCCAATGGTTGCCAAGGTTGGTGTAAGGCAGGGATTGGGACTGCATGTTTATGAACAGCAATGTGGAGGTGGAGAGGAAAGGAGCAGTTGCAAGACTTCTCTTGTTGCTAGCTCCAAACTTGTCAGTTCAGCCTCGTGCCTGGCCTTGCCCACAGGTTGAATTCAGTGAATACCTCAAGGCAGCATAAGCAAAACTCTCTTTGCTCAGCTGCTGCTTCAGTCCCTGTGCTGTTCCTCTCTTTGCACCAGCACAGGTACCAGTTCAGGCATTTGGTAAACTGTCAAACCAGAACAGATCCAGGTTAAAATCAGCTATTTTCTTTACTGGTGTTAATTTAAGTGTAGGTGAGCTCTTTAATGTGCTTTGCTTGTTCCAGGAGACGGGAGAGAGGAAATGGGAGGAAGTAGCCAGAGGAAGGAGAAAAGTGGATGGAGTCTTTCCACAGCAGTGCAGGGTCACACCAGCTTTAAGTTCTGTTGAGCATAGCCTGAGAATCTTCCAGTCTAGATCAACACATGCTCCCCAGAAGCTGGGCTTCCTGGGGCTGTGCCAGCCACAGTTCAGCTTTGTCCACTGTCCCCAGAAGCCTCAGGAGTCAATGGTACTCACAGTAAGACCCCTACCAGTGCCAGCTGCTTACTGGCTGTATTCACTAAGGCAAAAGTAACACCTGTAAACTTTTACTGCTGACTTTAAAGTCTTGTTAATGCAAATTTCAGCAGTGTCCTGAATTTCAGTATTAAATACAATGAGGAGAGATTCTTACCAAGGCTCTGAGTAGTGAATTAGGCTTCAAATTAATGGAGAAGATTCATGGCCCTCCATGTTCATAAGTCCATTTTCAGCCACATCTAAGTCTCTGGATTTGTTAGTGGTTTGCATCCCAAGAATTTGGTACTGTGTCTGTGGCTGAAGAAGTATTTTGAGTCATGCTTTATGTACTCTTATGTACTTTTCTGATTTCGATTAAATTTAATCCAGTTTAACTGGAAAAGTAACTAATTTCTTCAAGAAAATAATGCTTAGTGTCCATTGTCTTTTCCAGAAGACTTCCCTGGAAATCAGCTTCACTAATGCAGATGATCCCATCACAATATTAAAAAACTGAAGTAAACAGAGAATCATGTTAGATACAATGGTTTACTTCTGTAAACTGTCTTCACAAAATTAATCTGGCATGTGTGCACACAAATTGTCCTCATGATAATCTGTCATATTCTGATTATGATCTTGACTTCAGCTGACCAGCTCTAGAGCCATTGTTTAACCTCAATAGAATATATTTAATCTGTCTTCTGTGCAATGAAGTCTGTGCCTGAAGGTTTCCCTGATAAGTGAAGTTACACAAAAGCTTTCACTTTGTCATCTTATGCTGCATATGTCATGTTCAATCTCCTCAAATTTTGAAATATGTAAGGAATGGGAAAGTAAGTGAATAAATGTAATACATGTAGGGCCATAATTTGAAGCACACTTATACTGCAGTCAAATATGAAAGTGCTTCTGCTAGCACAATTGAGCAGGCTTTTGTTGCAGATATACAGAGCCAAAAGGTTCAGTGAGGGCTGCAATAGAAACTGATGAAAAAATAGCAGTTGCGTGCTTCTGGCTCTTCCACTGCCATTGAACTCAGTATGGCCAGTTTATCACTAGGATTTAGTGACTACATAAGCTGCACCATAAATATAGTCATTGTAGATTAAAAGTCTGAGTAAAGAAATTAGTTTGAGCGATAAAATTTGTCATCAGAACTTTCTACCAAAACAAAAAGCCTCACTATCTAAGAGCTGCCATGCAGTGCCTGATACATGAGGCATCTCTGTTGAATTGAATTGTTATTCCAAGTAGTTAAAGATAGTCGTTCATGTTCACTGTATACAGTCCCTCAGATAGAGGACTATATGGATGGTGATTCTGAAATAAATTTGAAATTTCACTTGCTCATACTTAAAATATCAAGTCCTCAGAGCTTAGGAAACACAGAGAGGGAGTGATAACATTGACTCCAAGTGTCCTAATTAGTTTAAATCAAATAATTATTTCTAATAGGTTCTGTATTAATTAGTAATTTAGATAAATGTTGTGAACAATTTGTCCTGTCACTAAGCGGATGTGCTATTTTCAGTATTTGAATATTTTGTGACTGAATTAAATCTGTGCAAAGTTCCCAGGGGGTATAAAAGTGCAGAGCTGATTCCTAATTTTCCCTCATTAGCTCATTTGAAACTTACCCAAACATTTGCAAAGAAGAAAGAAACAGCTGAATTTCAGTTCTTACAATGTTGTTGCACTCTTGTCATGAAGCTCCAGAGCTCTGCTGTGATCTGTTTCCTTGCTCATGCTTTTCCTTTCTTAACAGATCTTGCTATCACCAGCAAGATTTTCAGGTTGTTAAAATTGATTAATAATGATGACAGGATACTTGTTAAAGCTGGGGATCTTCTCCCTCTGCTACTTCTGATATTGGACTTCAAAAGGCTTCTGAATGATGAGTCATATAGCTAAAATTGCAAAAGCCAGCCTCAAAGATGAAAAAAAAGTTAATAAATAGTGAGGGATGGAAATAATGCATGTAAATAGGGAGAATCTATGGTGGAAATCTCTTCTTTACTTGCCTTAATGTATTCCATTAAATAATATGATATTTAGGCAATGGATATAGTTGAAAAGGCAGGAAAGAGTTTCTTAAAAAAAACCCCCAAACAAATAAAAAAACCAGGACAGCAGAAGAAAGGCTGTTCAGGACACTTTATTCAGTATTCAAGCAAATGTTATACAGACAGTGAAAACACATGTGAAATATTTAGGCTTCCAACATTACTTGTTGAATTATCCTTCCTAGTAAGTCCTGTGGTGTTACTGCTCCATCATGCTGATTTATGTCACTTCCCTGGCCATCTTTCATAAATATGGCTAATAAGGCTCTGCAAGTACTGATGCCAGGTATTACAGGGGGATGATTTGACAACTCAGTGGTTGCTCCTTTCCCTTGAAGTATCCTCAAGCCAACATTCATTCCCTCTAACGCTATGAATGACACTGTCACAGTAGTTACTGCACTTCAGATTGAAATGTACTCTTGAGACAGTTTATCCATTAAAGCTAAACTTATCCCACAATCCTTGTAATATTCAAATTATAAAATTCCTTTTTTCTTTTCCTTAACCAGTTGTTCTTTGGATGTTGTGTCCATCCAATGCAATTGTTTTAACTTAGAAATGTTTGTATTTCAATGCATCTCTGCATTGGTATCAATATGATTCTAGAGTCAAGAGGTTGTAGAGTCAAATCTCACTGTTGTAGAGAGGCTGACATTATGAAAGGGGATATTTATTAGATGTTTAACCTGTAAGGTTTAGTGAGTACTCCCTCCAAGTTATTGGTAAGACTTCAAATGCTTCCTCACACCACATAGTATACAATCATTAGTGCAAAAGGCCAAGAGCAAGACAAAAATGTAGTCCATCATGGGGAGAAATAAGCAAAGATTATGACCTGGTCCTAGGTCCTTCCTCTAGAAGGAAACTGTTAAAAAATATCCAGGTGATTTTTAAGTGGTGCATCATTTCAGATATTAAATAAAAATACCAATTCTTCTTTTTGATTCAACCTGTGTGGAAAATCCTTTTTTCATGCCAGATGTGGTGAGGGTTATGACACTGAGTATGAGGCCAGCTGAGCTGGGGTGATCAGGATGTGGGTGGCCAAAGAATTGCTGGGTGTGGGGAAGTGAGAGTGAGCATTCCCAGCAGGATGGACAGGATAATGTTCAGGACACAGAGTGGGAGAGGTTAAATGGCAGGTCAGATCGTGAAACATGTTAGGTGCCTGGGAGGAAAGTGAAACCTGAGGGTCAGTGTGAGCCTGATGTCTCAGACCTTAACCATTCCTACACTGAGAGAAAATTGCCAGCATGCACGATGTGCCCCTTCACACAGGGGATGACAATTTGGACTGTTGCTCTGCTAACAAAAATCAGAAATCTGTATCATGGATCTAAAAGTTACACCTTTTTAATGACTCAAGCAGGTGTTAGTGTGATGCCACATAATGGAATATTGCATGGTGGTTTAGGTTTTTTTAACCTAAAAGGTATATGCATATAAATTTATTCAATGCATATAATGTCAGAAAGTATTACAATTTTTTCAGAAAGAAGTACTCAAAATTTTAGAAAAGTTGCTTTTAAAGCTCTTTTGTGCAGTCTTATTATGATTCTTTTATATATTTTCAGCTTTGAGCTAGATAGACACCTACTAGTTCTTATATTTTTGCCTCAGTTTCAGTAGAAAGGATAGACATTTGGGGGTTTTCTGGTGATCACAGATGTAGAACAGAAACCTGACTTTCAGAAAACAGAAGGCAATGGGAAGAGTGAGGCACATGCTACAAGTAAAAAAGGATTGCTTTTGCTATGAAGGCTGTGCTCAGTAGCTGAATTTTATCTCTGCCCTCAACCACTGAAACCTATTTTGACACAGAGTCACTTTAACAAAACCTGTTACATGCTTTGTTTTCCCCTTTTATTCTAGATTCTTGTCTTGAGATCTTGTGGTCTGATTTGCACAAGTGCTGCACGCTTTGCCACAGGGAGCTGAACACTGAGTTTATAAACTGAGGGTATAACCTCAAGCATTCTGAAAAATGAACGACCTCAAGTTGGATGCTTATAATGTATGAATATTTCTGAATGTAATCTCTGCATGTATCAGAACATCATTTGCATTCTGAGAGCTGTATCATTCCCTTATAACATAAAATAAATTAGTTAATGTTTGTGCAGCTCTCACACATTACAGCGATGAGCATCTTAGTAAACCTCATGAGGAAATTAATATTCTGTCCTCAGAGCAGGGCCTGAGCCACAAGGAGAAAAGAAGTATTGAGCTAGTTGTTCATAAAATGTATTAGGGGAGGTAAAATCTTTAAAAATAAAAATATATCTATGATGATATTACTAATGTTCAGATTGCATTGCACAGCCATACAGAAAAAACAGAAAAATTAAGTTGGCATGCACAGCCCAAATTCTGACATTTCCTAATTTTGCTTTCTTGCCTTTGCTGTCCTATAACCTTTCCTTAAGTACCTATAAAACTGTACAAGGAAAGAATTTGCGCCTTGAATATCCAAGAAGACAATAACTTTCCTACTTAAAAAAATTATATAGTACTAATTACTGAATGTCATGTAATTTTTATGTTTACAAAGCAAATGGATCTCAAATTTAGATCTCTGCAGCTCAGTGGGAGTGTAGCAAGAGCTTCTCCATACAGAGCAGCTGGATATTCAAGGTGCACACCTGCTTTGCACCTGCACTTCTCTTTCAGCAATCCTCAGGGTGGAGCAGGAACAAAACTGGTTCTTACTGTGTAAAACAGCATAGCCTGGCCTGGGAAAGCAGGCTCTGCTCTGGCAGTTTCTGCCTGAATAGTACAGCATTGGTGCCCCTGGGACAGAATGAGGCCATTAACAGATTTGGCTTGGCCTGGCAGATCAAAGAATTCCTTTTGTTGCGGTGACAGATTTAGTTCACAGAGAGGTAAAAAAATCTTTGTTAAAAAGAAGAATACTTCCAAATAGTCTAAATTCTGCTTTTTATGTGCAACTGGGATTGTGTGAGTTGTTCATTAATTTTGAACTCTCTGCAAGTAATGTTCTGGATATAAATGTTAGATAATCAGTAGTTGATGATGGCATCAAGCTGCTACAAAGTCAACAAATGTAGTAAAAAGTGATATACTCTAGGTTAGTCATATGAACAGTGCAGATCTCATATTGCTCACAGACCACAACAGCTTTGTCTATTTTATAATAACCCAGCCTTCAGCTGCCACACTGCCCTTCTCTGTAAGACAGAGGAAATGGCCCAGGAGTGTTACTCTTGTTTTGGTTCTTAGTGACCTACTTCTTGGGCCATTGCCCAACTGCCTACAGACCTCAGAAGAAATTATATTAAAGCTCTTGACCTTTTTGATGTACAGAAATGGCCCCGTGCAGGGGGGGAGTAATCAAGGAAGGGAAAAAGTTCAATCCTCTTTACCTGCACCTTTCATTGTACATGACAGGGAGAGGAATAAAGAGGGGAACAAAACCCAAAACTGTCCAAGGCCAAACTGATGGCACCTGTGCAATGCATTGTAGTTCAAGATGTGGAGATTTAATGATTATATTGAAGAAAACAATAGGCACTAATCTTTATCTGGCCACAGCTAAGTAGACTTGCAAAAGCTCTTAGCAGTGGTTTTCTTTCACACTGTGAAGGCTCCAAGTGTGTAAATGTGAAGTGGCAGTACTGCTTCTGCTCACTGCATTTGTTCCAGTGGATGCAGCTCCAGCATGGCTGCAGGGACACTTGGTCCATCAGGATGAGATTCTCCTGAGGTGGGGTGCCTGGGGAGTTCCTTGGGAATAGGGTACAGCTGTATGTCAGTCAACAATGTATCCATAGAGAAATGGTGCCAGTCTGTTGTGCTGACAGGTAAAATGCAAAAGATGATTTGAAGTAGATTAATTAATGTCCCATTCATGCTGTGAGTGCTGTATGAGTTCAGTATCATGCTGGAGAACCCAGGAGAGGTATGGGTATGTTAAACTGTGAAGTGTGCTTTGTAGGATCAGATTCATGGCAAAAGGCTTGCAGAAGTAGTGAGCTACTTTTAATGTGATAAAGTGTGTTTTACTGTGAAAGGTTCTCAAGAGATCAGATTTACGCTTTACCTATTTGTTTAAAAAGAAAAAAAACTAGATTACCAGATCAATAGATCTAGGTTTTTTTGGTGGTGAGTTTTTTTCTTCATAAACCTTTCTTCATAATGTTTAAATGTTATTTCAGTAATATTTACTTATTTAAGGTAATTTGCTTATCTGAATACTCCTTTAAAAGAGCTAAATTGTGATTTTAAAAATGACTCAGGGTTTACCCAAAACCAGTCAGCATTTTGGACTTAATTGATATCAGTAGGATAGTGTAAAACTGTAAAGAATAAATCTGTTTTATTGGTATTTATTTAGTACAGCAATGAATATTGAATTTGTAATTTCCGGAGGTTCTTAGGGGACTTCTGCAGGGGGAGCTCCTTTTCTGAACTCTCTGTTCTTGGCTGTTCCCAGAAGAACAATGCTTATTGATATCAGTTTTTTATTATTGATCTGCTCAGTATGAAATCATTTCATCTTAACATTTTATTTTTCTCTCTTTCTTGCTCTCATCCGGCTTTGTGTTTAGTACACGGTGTGGACTGCCCTGTGGGTCACCTGGAATGTTTTCATTATCTGCTTCTATTTGGAAGTAGGAGGGCTCTCTAAGGTAGGTCACTTACCCTTCTTCAGATTTATGGGAGGGTGTCTCAACAGCAGGACTCTCAGATTTCAGAAGACTGCAGCCACAGAGGGAAAAATGTTGTTGTTTGAACATACAATTTGATCTTCAGAGTTTCCCTCCAACAAGAGCTGTAATGTTTGAACTTCTCCCTGCTAGTAAATAGCCACAGATTTGAAGAAAATTAATGCAATGAACCTGAATTGCAGTTGCCTTCTGAAGTATCATCCCAAGGTGAGAGGTGGAAAGATATTCAGTTGTAAATTTGAGGTCGTTTTTGATTGTCGAAAAGCAGGCAGTGTCATTTTGGTTGAATTTTCAAGTGTGTGTAAAAAATGTGAATTTCCAAGACTGCTTTGAAAGAAAATTACTAAGAAGGTTAATGTGACACCTTGCTGAGCAAATTGATCTCACAGTGAGAATGTTAATTCTTTATAAAAAAGAACAAGTGGCAAAGGGTGACTTTTGTCACATCTGAATAAAACTTTCCTTTATATGACACTCAGTGTTTTAGGTCACTAATTCTTTATTCAATCCTCTGATTAGAGCAGAAATGTTTGCTGGAATGGCACATCAAGAGATGTGCACTCATTCAAGGGAGCGCTTAAGTTAGCATAGGTTATGCTCAGCATTGTATCTGCAGGCAATTTCACACAACACCTGCTGGGTTTTATCCTCCAGTTGGACACAGATGATGCAGATCATAGTTTTCCACATTTGCCACATTTAAATGATTCCTGGCACAGTATGCCCATGGCACATGCTGATCCCAGCATTATTAATAGAATAAATGTCACTGTTACTAGTTGTAGATTTAGTGACATGAACTGCATCGCTGTTAATTCATGCAGTGCTTTCAGAGAATGCAGTCCTGTGCAGTGTGCTCTGGGAAGACCCTGCTTGAGCAGGGAGGCTAGACAAGGTGATCCACTGTGGTCCCTTCCAACATGACCCATTCTGTGAATTTTTGTTTACTCCACTCAAAGTGGAACATTTATGAACTATGTACTTGCTAGGATTAAGCTAGGATTCCTAGCTTTTGGTTGACAACAAACAGAAAACTGATGAAACCAATTTAATAAGAAATTTAGTCAGTAGAAATTCCATTTAAATTTAACCTTTAGTGATAGGTTCCTTTAGTGATAAAATTTCTTAATGAAAAGCTGCAATAGTTTCTTTTTCCTTCAATTATGTAGCTCATGAGAAGTTACAGGCTTGATAAAGAAATTAGTACACTTCATAGAGGATCAAAATAAATGATCTTTATGGTATGTTCTGACTTAAAAATCTATTAAATGAACAGAAGAGCAGCACATAGAAAAGATGAATAGCCAAATAATTGTTCATTCTTATGAAACAAAGAGGTTGTATACTTTTATTTAGTTGGGTCATGTCTGTTTTTGTAGTGACTCTTACATTTTATGTGTAAGGAATATATTTATCTAAGGGCCAAGAAAGTGGAGCAAAGCTTTTAGTCTGACCCTTGAATTTGTTTTCAACTGATTCTGATCATGTGCTCAGTAAGAGGTTTATAAATCAGCAGGTTCAAATTGAAGTCCTTCATCTTCCAGTTTCACTTCTGTGTTTCACTTTTTGCTCTTCTTACTTAACATGATAATCACAATGCAGAGAAATAGCAGCAAAAATACTACCTGGCAGTTGACAAAGTTCCCTTTTATTAGGGTATACTTCAGTTAATCTCAACATTTTTGTGGAACTTTTATCTTGTGGTTTATAATTACATTTAAAAGGTGTTTCTCAACAAGGTGATAGACACAAAATTACTACTGTGGAAATTAACTTCTCTTGTATAAATTATGCCAAAGGTGTGGGTATTGAGACCAACTTTGCAATGATAGAATTAAGAAAATTTTTCAGTACATCACAGAATTTTGGGTCTATTTATTTGTCTTTCTGAAAATTTTGCTAGACTTGATGAGGCCATCAAGAGACTAAGGTCTTTTTGCCCCATATGCTTAAAATACTGGGTATTTATCATTTGGTTAATATGTCACACAAAATTTAATTGGGACCCATATTTTATCCAAGATGCTAGTTGAAAATATTAATAATTTCCTCCATTAATATGTTCATGTGTTGTCATACATGATAGAAAGTGCTGTTATCAGAGTACATTAGTGTGGTTGGGAAATCAAACACTGTAGTAAGATTTCTAAGTACAGTTGTTTATTCAGCATTGAAATCTTGGCAGGCAATAGTCACTTTTTTTTTCCTTCCTATTGTTCTCTTTTTCCATTAAAGAAAGAAAAAGAAATTATCTCTGAAATGAATACAGATTGATTACAATTTTAAACTTCTGTTGACATTCTATCAGGGGCAATTGTGATGCTGTCTAGCAGGTGACTGATTTCTGTTGGCTTGTTTGTTTTTAAGCAGTACCATGTTTGCATTTGCTCTGACCAGAATGAGTTAGCTCTTGGTTGATGTCCCATGAGTTTGTTAAGTCTTCAATCATAAATGTTTCTGAAAATCCAAATTCATACAATAATAAATGGCAATTTTAATTCAATATCTACCCATGGAGCATGCATACAATGCAGACAGACTTTTCAAATGCCATAGTGGAAACCTACCACTGCTGTAATTTTGCTCAGATCTTATTTCTGAAGTGGGGAGGAGGATCTCCTTTGAATAGTCACTGTTTGAATTCTGCCAGGAAGTTCCACTGCAGGTAATGAAAAATTTGAATGAGAATAAGAAGGACATAGGTAATGTAGGCCTGTTTACTGTGAAAGTTTGAAACAGAAACATTTTCCTTTCAATTACCTTCAATTATAATTTTCTTGATAAACTGAACACCCTCCACACTATGGTGATTAAGGCAGTCTCCTGGGAAAAGGATGATATAGATTCAAGTCATCTTGGGTGCAAAAGGGAAATAAACACAGCTCTCCCACAGCTGCTGTTGTCAGTAGAAATCTAATGAGCAACTGTTTCCCCTTTAACTGCTTTATAAACAACATAGAGGTCAAGATCCTTCTTCACTTACGTTACAGATGCACAAATAAAATTGTAATGCTTTTCTCAGAGCTAAAGAAATTGTATTTGATCAGAAATAAAATAAGTATACCTATATACGCCTTTTTTATTAGTATTTTTTTTTTCTGATTTTAGCAGCAGTGATACTACCCATATGAAGAAAATGAATTTTGCCTGTCTTTTTTCATTTACTACTTTTCTGAAACTGGAAACATAATTTTTAGTGTTAACCATTCCATATGAGAGAAACAAAGCTGTTATTATAACATGACCTTTTTAATCTTCGCTGCAGGATGACAGTTTGCTACATCCATACATAAGCTCATTAATTGTTTTGATCTCATTCTGTCTTGAAATGAAATGAAGTTCTAATTGTCACATTCCAGAGTATAGGCATTAAAGCACATAGACAAAAACACAGACTGTTTTCCTGAAGTTTTGTATGTGCTTAAATATGAACCCCATAATTTCTAATGTGTGTAAGCTATCCCTCCATCTGCAGCAATAAATGGTGTTATGTACTCCTGTACAAAGGAGTCTTCATCTGTTTAGAGTGTACAGTTATTAATTCTGTTACATCCCTCAAATATTTCAGATCCAGTATGAAAATAGCTATTTTCATTTGTATTTATCATATGCTATTCCAAAATTTTTGTAGACCATTTTTATACTGCTTTTGTATTTGTGAGTTACTGGCATTTCTTTCCATGTGTTAAAGCCTTTATTTGGTAAATGTATAGCAGCATTATGGTATTGTGTACACCTTTCCTGTTGTTTCATATGCCTTACCTCTGCAGCTGGGGAATATTGATGAGCTCTTTTCTTTTTCAAGGATATTTCTCTTTGTCCTGCATGGCTTTTCCATGGCATGCTTCTTTGCTGTGAGCTGTGCCTCATTCTGGATTTAAGTTTTGCTCTCAAAATTGAGCTGTGTGTCAATTTTAAGTTTTGCTCTCAAAATTTGAGCTCTGTGTAATTTTCTTGGCCAAGGATTTACCTGACACACACTCATATATTCAGTAGGAAACTACTTCTAAATGGCTTATGTTTATTACCTTATTGTCCTTAGTTTTACACATTCAGTGAATGTGAGCTCTCTGATCTGCCTCTGGCACCAACTTCATCAGCCTTTCCCCTGAAGCCAATGGTAGTTTTGCTTATGTAATTTAATGAAACAATACTTTTTCATGTGTTTTTTTCCTAGAAATATTTATTTTGGTCAATGAATGATCAAAGTTTGTAGGGCTCCCATCCAGCTTTATTAAGCTGGAGACAGAACTGTAGGCCAGGATAGAATTATCTGACAAAATTAATGATTTCTTCCATCTGAGGAAAAAAATTGACTAATAATTTACTTATTAAAATGCTGAGAGACTGGAAACCTAGTGCTCTTTTCCAAACAAAATGTTGTATGTCAGAATGAGAGTTAATTATGTGAACTTTATACTGGCTACTTGTGAAATCAAATTTATTCCATCTGGTGCATGTCAGTCAATCCTTAATTGTTCTGCAATTATATCTAATCATCTCAAATGGAGTAAGTTAAACTCAGAGCCAATGCTAATTTGTATTAATAGAGATGTTATGGTGTATGCTTGGGCTTGTGTCTTTATTTTTAATGTGAAATGAGAGCATTGGTTGAATTTACATTAGCAATATGAAAGAAAAGGTGATTCTCTTTCTAACTTGTGCTGATGTAAGTGACAAAACAGACACCATTATTTCGGTTTAATTATTGTCTTAATTAGCTCCATAGAATTACCCACTCCAAAAAGCTCATAGACAAAATTGGCAGCATCCATAAATCCAATTTGGAAAATCAATAGATAGAGGATAAAGGACTTCCTTAGTCTAATCAGAGGATAGGTCACTGTGCATCTACTCACATGTAAGTGACTTTTAGGTGGAGGAAGGGTTTTTCATATCCACTGGGAAGAAGAGCAATAAATAATTTACTGAGCATGTGGCAAAAAAGATTTGGTTGGAGG